TTTTAACTTTCAATTTTTGGCTCTGAGTGAATTTGCACGGCCCTCAGAGGGTGAACCCTTCATGAATCTGTTGAATCCTTGACTTTATGTGTCTGTAAGTTTTTACATGTCAAGTATCTGGACATCTAGTGGATGAGTTTTGCACAGACATTGATGGTCCTCAGAGGATGAGACTGAGGATCCATCCAGTCACTTTGACTCAGATTGTCATAGTCTCCAGAAGATAAACCTCTATGACCATTTAAAATCATGCATTCTGTAAACTGTCCCAATATTGATTGGATGGATTTTGTCATTTGGACATTCACAGTCCTCAGAGGGTGAATCGTTTGAACTCATTGGATCTCCTGTTTTTGTTTGTTGTGGTTTTTAAGTTTTAGTTTTTATCTCTGAGTGAATTTGCACGGCCCTCAGAGGATTAACCAATCTATTTTAACTTGACTTGTAGTATTTTTTATGCATTTATAAATTTTGCATGAAAAAGACTCTTTTGTTTTTCATAATTTTCAGGAGTTAAAGTTTAAATGAAGCACTTTTCCTGTTAAATGACGATATTTCTGCATTTTTTCTGCAGGATTAAATCTCCGTTTCTGTCACCATACAGTCCTAATTGGATTCAACTGTGTAACATTTGAGGAATTATCCTCTTTAATGTTAATGTGGGACGTATGCAGCATGAATGCAGATCGAGGCCTTTTAAACCACGACCACTTTAGCATCCAAACTGCTGCATTTCTGCTCTCCTGTTCAGTTTTATTCTTTTTAGTTTGATCATAAACTTTTTTTCCAGAGCGCCGCACAGAAGAGCATTAACTTTCAGGTTGATGAATCTTTATGTTCACCTTTTGTAGTAAACACAGCGTGCAGCTGCGAGTGCGAAACAGCACAAATGTGAGGAGATCCGTTTTAACAAGGAGAAGGGACAGCGTGGGTCTCTGGGAGTCTTTTGGGGTAATTTAACACAAACACAGCCAGGGAAACAGACTATTTCTGAAGGTGGTCATCCATCAAACACTGAGGAGAATGTCCAGTTGGTGGCTCCAGCAGGCTTAGAATAGCCTTTTGTTCAAACACCTTTAATAATTAAACACCTACTCAGCCCCTCAGGCTTCACAAGATTGAAGACTTTCGCAGGGGAGAGCAGAAAAAATCCCCTTCCCCTCCCTGCGCTGCTGTAACCTGGAGAGCTTGGCGGAGATGAGGTGCTCCCAATCACCTAATGCTTTTTCCTGTTGCTGGACAAACCCCATCTGACTCCTTTAGTAGACTCATAAAAGGGAAAGACTCAAATACATCTGCCTCTCTGGCTCGAAAACACACATTTGTTTCACTTCTGAAAGCAGATATTTCAAAACGAGAGCTGGACTTGTTTGGGTTTCTGGAGAGTCGGTACTTATTTGTGAACTTTGACCTTTTTTTGCTCTTTAATAAAAGTAAAACATCCTGTGACTGGAGGAGGTTTGAAATAGAGGCTGTCGGGGTAAAAATGATGCTGTGGTTTTGGTTCTTATTCAGATTTCTTATCTGTTTGTGAGTTTTAGTAGAATAACTGAATTTCTGAACCCGCTGTCTACTGCCAATAATATGACGTACACTACAGGCCAACAGTTAGGAAGGAAGATCAGATTTGTACAAAAAGAGATCATAGTTTCATATCTATAATTATCAACACAGTAAACATGACTATTGTGTAAAGAGTAACTGATCAGAAGACATTTTGACTATAACTCTGAGGTATTTGAGTTATTGTTGTTAGACTTTCTTTAAAGTAACCTCCTCCGTCTTTAACAACAGCTCGGCATATACCAGGCATTCGGTCCACAAGTTTTCTTAAGTTCATTAAAAAGAGACGCTGATTTGTGGGACGCGTTTTTCTGACCGATCAATCCAATTCATCCGCACAAGCTCAATGGGAGAAAGGTCTGGAGACTGAGGGGGCCAAACCATCTTTTGAAGAACACCTTCCTCTTCTTTTTTGTCTAAGTAACCCTGACAGAGCTCGGCAGAGAGCTTAGGGTCATTGTCTTGCTGCAAAACAAACTTATGAGCCACAAGTCTGAGTCCAGATGGAGCAGCATGGTGCTGGAGGATGGAGTGGTACTGTTCCTTCTTCATGATACCCTTTACTTCAAACAAATCTCCTACTCCATCACCTGCAAGCCCCCACTCATATCTCTTTTTCTTGTTCTGTGGATGAAGTCGTGTTTTTTTGCAGATACACAACCCTTCAGACCAGCCTTTCTCAAACGTCACGGTTCTCAGAGATATGGGTTTCCACCTTGTCATGTTGATTTCCTCCCTTATTTGTGGTGCTGTCTTTCTCCGATCTCTCTTCCTGGTGTCAATGCTCTGTTTATCCTCTGCTTTTGTAGTGACTCTCTTTCGTCCAGGTCTTTTTCTGTCATCATAACTTCCAGGTTCCTCTCGTCTCTTCAGAGTGTAGTGGACTCTGTCGTTAAACACCATTAGGCGTTTTTCTCTTCCTGTGTATCCTTCTTTCCTCGATGTACAAATCTGTACTTTTGTTTCTTTACTCAGTTGCTTCTTTCTGGTCATTTTGCGGTAGTTTGAACTCAGTTGAGATTTATTAGGATTTTTGTTGCAGACTCTCAAAAGACAAAAAGTTGAAGTGAATAATCCAACTGTGATTTGTTTTTTGTTTTTTTGCTGTTGCACTGAAGTTGTGACTCTTGCAAATGTTTTCGACCCTAAAACTAAGCCCTTATTTTCTTCTGCTGACATATATTTAGCAATGGTCTGTTAACATCAATGTATATCTGAAGGTAAATGGAGTAAAATGGTGCATTTCCATGAAAGCAACATCTGATCATGGAGTAAATACATCAAACTCATGCTGGATTTTAAAAAAAGACTTGTGAACAAAAAGTTACTCACAACTGTTCGGCCTGTAATGGCCGTGCTCCCAAACCTTTGTCCTGTAATGTAGTGATGATACCGGTTCACCGCAGACAAACAGAGACTGTGCCGCACTTTTAGGGCTCTGCCACCTGATTTTCTCTCCGTCTTCTTTAACGCTTGTTTGTTTCTTGCGCCCCTTTCTGGGGGATTTATCTTCAGACCGTAGAACGGATCTGCTTCTTCTGCAGAATAATCAGAAATTATGCAGAAACACACTTTGCATTATGAGGTTTAGAGTCAAAATGTTGCAGAAACGTTCATGTGGCTGAGCTCTGCTTCCTGTTTGCTGCGGTTGCCATGGCTGCCTTTGGTATGACTTTGAGAGCATGCTCAGTTATCCTCACAGTTCCTCCCACACAACAGGATATTTGATCCTGCGTGATGAACATGTTTAATGATTAAAATATCTCATCATACACTCAAAGTTTCAGGATATCTGTCAGTCTCTCCTCTCAGCTTCAGTCAGGTAAAACTCATCAACGTCCGTCTCCTCACAGCTTTCCAAACCCGCGTCTCCAGAATCGTCTCAGGGACGGTTTGACTCGACATGCAGGAAGTTTGTGTATCAGCTGTTGGGCGTCCTCAGCGGGTCGCAGGCTTTTTTTTAAGGGTGAAGTTGAGCTTCCTGCCACATGAAACACTCAGCCCGTCCTGTTCCTGATCCCTCAGGACCAAATAATGACTAATGTTGGAGAAAAAACTCCGCAGATACGCTGAGAACAAGCACCTGAGAGAGAACAGCTGTCTTGTAAAAGGTCACTCTCCCACTGCTCCTCGGCCTCGCTCTACATTTCCGGCCCCCACCTCCTCCTTCCCACCCCCACCCGTTTGACTCCAAAGTCACGTATTTTGGCTTTTTTCTCACACACACATGGCTCTCACTCCCTTCGCGCTGCACCTAGAGGATTCTTGGCAGAGCCCGACCACCTTGTAATCCCATGTAAGGAAAAAAAATGGAGTGGGCGGATAAACGCGCTGCAGCCTGGTTTGTAAAACTTCCCTGAGAGTGGATATACGGCTCTCTTGAGGTGTTTGTTTTTCCCGAGTGTAGTGTAGCTATCATTGTTACGCACATGTGAAACCCCCTCCCAACCCGACACACACACACACACACACTCTCAGGCACTTCTAAACATTGACAAACAGTCTCCAAAAGGCGAAAAACAAACACAAATCAAATTGGTTACATTTTTGGGGAGAAATTTCTCATAACCCGCTGGACCAAAATGCAATTCTGCAGACAAACAAACAATGTTTGGAGTGATCACTTTCAATAAATGCCCTACTCACATATTTGAGCGCTAATATTTATCATGAAATCGGCGTGGCGGCCAGACCGACTAAACAAATACGGAGCTTCAGCGTTCTCTTATACCAACACACATGCAAAAACCAACAGTAAACACACACACACACACACACACACTGACACTGAGAGCAGCACCGACACTGACTGGAGCTGAGGCTGAGGTGTGTATGATTAAAAACATCCAGAGACACTGAGACCGGTCATGAAATCGTCAAAGTGATCTAGTATTTTATATCTATAAATCCTTTAAATCTGTTTATTTCTTACCTTTGGAAAAAGAGGACAGAAATTAATTATTCGTGGCGTCCCTCAAGGTCCAGTTCTAGGTCCTCTTATATAACTTCCTCCCCACATATAAGGTTGTGAAGTTGTGTTTCCTCTTTATCTGCAGATTCCTCTTTAAAAATCTTAACGTTTTTTCGTCCTCAGCTCTCCCTCGCCGTTATCCGTGGTCAGCGTGTTCAATCACTCCGCTGTTTTCTCCACATGCTGACATCTCCGATGGTCCAAACCTGCTCAGAATCAGTATCAGTATGGAAATGTGCCAAAGCAAACACACATGCATGTAAATGGAGACGTGGACATTTGTCATGTTTGTTGTCTTTGATGCTGTCTTCGTCTCCCATAATCCACCAGTGTACGTGAGCTGCTGTTTGCATGTACGGCGTCACCTGAGAGTCACATCACACAGTCTGCGGCATTAACGACTTATTTTTGGAGCTTTCTGCTCACTTCCACCCCCCCGGAGTGTGAGTGTGCATCCTGTGTGCGTCTATGAGTGTGTGCGTATGATGGTGTGAATATCAAAAGCCTCGTTGGGGCCCCTCTGGGCCCCAGAGCAGGTCTCAGAGCGACTCTGGAAATCTCTCTGCTGTGGCGACTCTTCCTCGTCCTTCTCATCCTTATCGTCTGTGTGCAGAAATGGTCGAATCTTCGGCGTTGGGGTCACGCAGGAAGCTCCAGAATCTGGGTCAGGACTCTTGAATTGTATTTGCAGGCGTTTGGGAGGGTGAGGAACCTTTGTTTGAAGCTTTGAGAGGAGTTGGAAAAGGAGGAGAGACGGAGCAGGAAATAAATCAGCATATAAAATAAGGAGGTAATGATGGTGGAGGGTGACGGGGGGGTGCAGGGCGACAGGTCTCGGCGGGTACTTCAACCAACCGCTTGTCAAGACGGAGGCGTCGGCGGAGTGCGTGACAGCTCTGACAAGAGTTAGCGGAGGTCCTTCAGTGCTTCTCTTTTGTTTGACAAGGGGAGGCGGGCAGGGAGCGCCGAGACAGCCGAGGTCGCGGGAGCCGTTTCCAGCGGGTCGCATTAACGCCAAACCTGCCTGTCATGACTCATGAAGTTCGCCGGTAAGAAGGGAGGAAGGCAGGCGGGGGGGATAAGGCGGCGTGTTCGGGAGAGTTACGGGCCGCGAGGCAGGTGAGAGGTGAATAAGCTCTACATGTGACCCAACATGCTCTTAATCCTGTGAAGGACGTGGAGCTGATTACCTTCTGTGTGCACTTCAGAGCTGCAGAGTGAAGGATGGAGGATCATGGGAAAAAAAGACTGTAAGCTACTGAAGACACGTTTTTTTTTTTTATTTATCCGCCTGAAAGCAGACGACGAGTTCTTCCTCCACCTCCGACGTGACGTTTCAGACTGCAGCGAGTCAGAGAGGAAGGAAACAGATCCGGATCAGGAATGAGTTCTGTTCTGGTCGGAAAACAGGACTTTTAACAAAAAGAGAAGTGGTAATTGTTTGTCCAGTGGGGGCGCCAAAGTTAACACAAACCAAAAGTTGCTCACTGGAGCTTTAAAAAGCTGCTTTCGTCAGAGTTTGTCCAGTTTATAACTCGTTGTGCTGTGCGTGTTTCCAGGGGCCTGTTCTACGAAGCAAGTTCAACCTAGCCAGGTAACCTTGGAGCGACCTCGCTCAACTTAGCGCAGTAGCCAGCGGTCTCGCTAAACGGTCTTATGACGCTGGTTAACAACCTCGTAAGTGTCCATTGTCAATCCAGCTTTGCTATGAGCGCGTGCACGCATGTAAGGCGGATCTGGTAGGAAATGGTAGACGCAAAAATCGCCGCCGTCTCGGATGCGATGGAAATTTTGGGTTAGATCGTAGAGAGATCCATCCTGGGTCAGGATTTGGGGCTTCAGAGGCAGAAACCTGAACATGTGAGTCGCGGTATAAGGTGCATCATATATCATTATCTGTTAAAGTTGAGTTAACCCAACTCCAGTAAGTTTCTTCTCTGTAATAGTTTGCTAATTGATAAAAAAGCTGCAGAGTGATAATTGGAAACCTAAACACTCTAAAGTAAGAAGAAGAGGAAATAAGTCATGCATGCAGGATAATAAAAAAGGTTTACTCTGAGTATTCATGAAGTGTTCACATAAAACACTGCTCTGTGCTCTTATAGAAAACAGATATAGCTCTCATTCAAAGCAGCCTCTTTGTTTCCTATCTTCGCCGAGTGAAACGTTTGTTTCTCTGCATTCCCCCTCGCGCTATTGTCTTCCTGCAGCTTTTCAACCCCGGCCTCGCAGACATCTCCTCTGAACCGATTGTTAGCGGTAAGAGTTCGGCAGATACAACTGTGAATATGCATATTAATCTCTCAGCACTGCAGGAACAGTCCGGCACAAAATAAAGAAAGTTTTCATCCAATTATACTTCTAAATCAGCAATAATTACAGCCCTATACATCATCTGCATATTTCAATTAATATTCAAATCTTGTATAGGCTTTTGCATGCAAATGTATAATATATTCAGGATTAGGTATATTACAATTAAATCTATCTCTATCCAGCCTCTACCTTGCTTCTCCTTAATAAGCTGTGTTCCCTGGTAATGTTCCTGAACTTATTATAATGCAATATGCTCAGGCATAAGAATCGCACATCCTTAATATTATTTCTCACAATTAACATGGAGCCGAAAATACAGAGGGCCCTCCTTCGTTAATTTGCTCAGGCACTCACATGTAATGCAAAGCAGGAGGGGTGTAAACAGGTCTCTGTCTGACTTCCACGCACACGCCGGAGTCAGTCAAGTGTTGCAAATCTAATTTAAATATATGAATGTTTTGCTTTGTCCGTTTCTATGACTCGGACTCGGCCGGCTCGAATAGGAAATGATGCTGCTTAGTATTGTTGCCCACTCGTCAGACGGTAGAAGAAGAAGAGAAAAAAAGGCTCTGTAAGACATTTGTCAATACTTTCTGTGTTTGCTGTCTTTCCAATTTATATGTTCTATATCCTCAAAGCTCTGGAGACTTCAATTAGACAAGTACCTGTATCCTCCGCTCTGCTCTACAGCTCCCAGGAGCCCTCCTGCTCTCATATTGAATCATGGAGAGACAGTTAATATTCCAGAGGAAGGAAGGATCTATAAAGTCACAGCCATAAAGCAGAGAGGGCCCTTTGTAACATCCAAATAATAGCAGTAAATAAAGAGCTTACACCTGTACGAGGAAGGCCAGGTCCGGCTGATAGGAAGCACTCTGCGGGGTCTGCAGACGGCCGTAAACGCCCCGAGTAAAGAACAGTGAGCGCCGTTAATGGATAGCTTTATTTTAAAGCCATCAATCACTCTGAAGTATCTGCAGTGGAGGAGAAGCAGGTCCTCTTAACCCTCTGAAGTCCAGAGGGTTTTCTCAAAGTTGAAGCAACTCAGCAAGAATTTAACCGTCCAAACAAACGTCTGTTTATAAAAACAGGAGCAGAAATTCATCTGTTTACGGATTCATCGGACAAATGCAGGATCTGCACTCAGGGGTCCAGATTTACAGCATATGCAGCAAGTTTGCATCTGAAGATATGATCGTTGGTAGAATAGTAATAACTGAAATCACACTGACAAAGAGCTTCAGGGTCTGCAGGAACAACGGAGTACGGAGAGCAAAAGCAGGAGGATCACAGAGGCCAAAACTGGAAGAAAAAGTCTCTGCCTGATGTTACTCTTTCAAAATAAAAGACCCGCACTGAGCTAAAATGAAGAAATAATACTTTGGAGTTTGCAGGTCACGTCTTTGGGAAACTATTGGAGAGAAAAACCAAACTCTACGTCACCTTGGTAACCAGACACTTCATCGATATGCAGACGATAATGTGATTTGAACTAACTTGATCTTTTGCAGTTTTAACCTCCTCCCTCTAGATCATTTTAGCAACTGAATCTTACAGCATTGTGGGGTTTCTATGCCAGCAGAGTCATTTTTAGACACACAAGCTGTCTATAAGAAACTAAGATTTAGTCCAAATGAAATAGCAGCTGAATCCAGTTTGGTCTAATCTCATTTCCACTGAACAAACTTTGATTTTCTTGTTTTAATTCACTCAGATGAATGTAAAGTGACAGATCTCCTGATATAAAATGAGTGTCTGAGGGTCTACAGGGTCTGTTTTCTGGTCCTCTCCTCGGATTTCTCCTTCACCGGGAGCCCGATAAAGGTGGTGTGAAGGTAGGAGAGAGATGTCGTGGAGGAGGGGAGGGCGGGTGGTGGCGGCGGCGGCGGTGTTGCAGCCTCTCAGGATCCCTGAGAGAATAAAGCATCAAACCCACTCAGCAGCAACACTAACAATAATAAAAATGCCTCGGCTTAAAGGTGACATTCCCAATTTACGATTATTTGTGTCTATAAAGTGTATTCCTCGGCTCCTGACTCATTCGCGCCCCTCCCTTACAAGAACAATGCATTAAGGAGGGAGGGGGGTAAATGGAAATCCTATCCATTTTATTAAACCGACAGGCCCCACTATACCTGAGACTTTCAATTTTGCCGGCGTGACCTCCAAGGAGACATTTCTGTCTCCTCTCCGTCTACCTTCGCTTCATTCAATTCCCCGTTCGCTCCGACCGGCCCCTCCGAGCACCCGGGGGCCCGCAAAGCCGTTATGGATGAGCTCCGAGGCAATTCTGAAAAAGAGAGGAGCGTAGATCTCGGCTCCCCCTCCAAAAGATTTACTTCAGGGTGTAAGATGGATGAAATCAGCCTCTGTATCTCCTTTAGTGATTGTTTTTCCTTCCCTTTTTTCTGTAAATGGAGGCCGGTCAATAGGACGGGAAATGTGATGGATTAAGAGACTGAGATCAGCCGAGGTGGAGATGTGGCGTTAACCTGAGTAATACTGTGATCAGAGCCGGCTGATAGGACGGACGGACCGCCGTGTTTCTGTCAAACACCTTAACAGGACTGAAGCTGAAGGAGGAAGAGCGGACAGGAAACAGACACTTCTTCTTCTCTGCTCTCCTTGGCGGCGAGGTGACGGCATATAAAGTATCTTCATGACGGATCGAGAGAGAGGAAGCAGCCTGAGACGCGGCCAAGTTTTTATTGAGTTATGGAGGTTTTTTCTCTCCTCGGAGAGCGGCTCTCCTCAGAGTGACTGAGCTCACACTTAACACGGACAATAGAAATGAAACGAGGACGCTCGTGTTTCCTCACTCCTTCATTTCTCCTCCTTTAGAGCTCCGAGTGTTTTTTTTTTCTCTGCAGGAACACAGTCAGGTGTTTATCAGGTAAACTAGCACTAATCAATAACATTAATCTGTTTCTCTAAACAAAATAGATCTGTATATAAGTAAGGACGCATGAATTTAACTTGAAAAAGAGTCGTAATAAACAGACAAACAGAAAGTTAATATTCTGATGAGTAAAAATGTTCAAAACCTGCAAAAAACGATGAATTTTCATAAACTTTGATCTGTAATTAAAATGTGCACTGGCCCTTTAAACGAGTTCGACCAAAGTTACCGTCACGGTTCTGGCCGTCTGATCATAAGAGCGTTTCAGTGACAGGCGTGACCCGCCGTCACAGGATGGAGACTAATATTTGTTTGGCAGTTTACACCCAAACTTCGTTCATCCTTTTTCAAACGGCGGACACTGAGAGTGATCGACGGTGTTCGGAGATAAACGGGATGTTGATATGGCTAACCGCCGCATCGCTGATTTAGCTCTAACTGTGGCTAATTGTATGTCTAAACCCTCTGCGGGATGAGCGGCGTGGCGGGAATAAAGAGGCTCCGGGTTTTGACAGTGATGGTTCACGGGATGACAAACAAACGCCACAGAGGATCAATGTGAAGAGGTCCATCTTGGAAACACTCGAGAGACGGAGAGACGACAGAACTGATCCACCGTGACAAGAGCCGAGTCCTCTCTGAGGATTCAGGATCAGCTCTGTGTTCAGGGAGATTGTTTTCACTTTATCAGGGTGACGGGGAGAGATCGGAGACGGACTTCTTCAAAACTCCGACTTCTGACTGAGAGGAAGTTTTTCCAAAATGAAGAGAGAGTTTGATTTTCAGAAACCTGA